CCAGATGGTCAACACACACATGAAAAAGTGCTCAACGTGAGGTATTTGAGAGGCAGGGTGGGGGCTGTGGGAGGTAGGGAAGGAAAAAATGAAACAAAATGGGATTGGGAGGGAGACAAACCATAAGAGACTCTTAATCTCACAACACAAACTGAGGGTTGCGGAGGGGTTGTGCGGGAGGGATAGGGTGGCTGGGTTATGGATATTGGGGAGGGTATGGGTTATGGTGAGTGCTGTGAAATGTGTAAGTCTGATGATTCATAGACTTGTACCCTGGGGCAAATAATGCATTATATGTTAATAAAAATAATTTAAAAAAAGAATAAATGATCACTTTTATAATAAAGTATCATAATGGATTCTTCAACACTGACAACACCTTATAAGCAAAGAAGCAAAATGGTCTTAAATGTAAGACCTTACAGATGTGAAGCCCAGTACAAAGCATTATTAAGAATTCTGTTTAGACATGTGTTGAGATGAGCACTGAGCATTATATGCAACTAATGAATCATTGAACACTACATCAAAAACTAATGATGTACTATATGCTGGCTAACTGAACATAATAAGAAATACATATTAAAAAATTTTGTTTGGGGTCATAACTAGGATGAGAAAATAGGTCTTTTTCATGATGTTTTCTTTATAGCCCCTACTATTTTGTCTTAAAATGTAAGAAAAATCGTTGAAAACATGTTAAGCTCTTCTGAAAGTTCATAAAGATGCTTTTAGGTCATTGTGGTACCATTGAGAAATGGCAGAAGTAGAGTGAATTGTATTTTGGAGAAAAGTGAAAATGGGAAACATTGCTGAGGGTTGGTGGAAAGAGACCTTCACATAAGCCACTGGTCCATCCACATCATTGGTTCTTGATCTGAAGCTCCCTTTTCTACTTTAACTGTCAGGAGTCTTGAAACAGAATGGAGAGAGAGGCTACTGGTGAGGGAGCAAGCAGTTTACTCTAATTCTCTCCCTTTCTATAGCACAGAATCTGTTGTGGAACAATCGAATGCTTTTTTCAGTTTTAAAATGGTCCCTCACCCATTTAACATATACCTTAGTCATGTTTGCATATAATTAAAAAACTGTCTTGAGAATTACTTTTGCTAACTTAAATAATGTCTTTGATTAGAAGAAGCATAATTTACTTGAAATTTCCATATCATTAGACATGTAAACTCTTTCTAAATGTTCACTACTATTCTTTGTATATTAACCTTTAATCACATTTCAAATAATGTCCTTATAAAAATTTCCTAGAAGTGAATTTACTAGGCAACAACTGTGAATATTTTAAGTCCTTTAGTGAAAATACTAAGAAACCGTTCTTCAGAAAGATTAATTTATACTTTCAAATGCAGCATATGATATTATTTGCTCCACCAGTATGACTTTTAAAAATTAAGGGAAAAAGTTTAAGTAAATTGAAGGTTATAATTTTTTTGGTCTTAATTCACATTTTTTCATTATTATAGTAACTCTTTTATAATTTTATATTACCATTTCTATTTCTTTCTCCATGAATTGCTTGTTCTTGGCCTTTGCTCATTTTTCTACTTCCTAATCTGTATAAATGTCTTTGGTATATGGTATATTTAAGATATTAGTGAACTGGTCTCATATTTATAGCAAACATTTTCCCAGTTTGTTTTTTTAAAGATTTTATTTTTATTTATTTGACAGAGAGATCACAAGTAGGCAGAGGCAGGCAGAGGGAGAGGGGGAAAGAGGTTCCCTGCTGAGCAGAGAGCGCAATGGGGGATTCAATCCCAGGACCCTGAGATCATGATCTGAGCCGAAGGCAGAGGCTAAACCCACTGAGCCACCCGGCACTCCTGTTTTTTTGTTTCATAATTTTCTTTATGATAATTTCTTTTTGTTTGAATGTTTTAAGTCATGGTATGATAGAATTCCCATCTTTTCCATTGAATTTCCTTATGTTGTTTATGTTTTAAAAATTTTTAATCAGTTATTTAATAACTTATACATAATTTTTCTTTTACTCTCTTTTTTAATATTTAGTTCTTTATACATCTTCCCACGTATAGACACTATTAGCTAATGTCCCCGGTTCCACAATCATTATGGACCAATTTATTCATTTATTGGCATCAATGATAAAAAAAGAATGTAGTTTGACTGCTCCACATTTTTGCATAGAAAGTCTGGCCTTAGTGTAAGTTCTTTGTGACAGCAAATGAATTCCTTTAGCTATGTTATCCTTACCACTCCTTTTCATAAAAGAATTAATCTCAGAAGAAAATAACAGCACATTTGCACTATAAATGATGAGATATATATATCTATATCATATATATAGAGATATATCTATATATACATGGACATGCATATCACTAATATATTTCTAATCTTTGATTCTGGTGGTCTCCAAAACTTAACACAAATTATTTTTGCATTAATAGCTATTTTGAGGGTGGTACCAGCTAGTAGTTGGGACCAAAGTGAATTATACTGGCAAAGTTTAGGCTAAAATAATCCTTTTCTTATTCTTAAAAAGTTATGATCCCTAAGTAGAGCAGTGCATCTGCAGTGAAAGGATAATATTTTTGAAACCCTTATCGATCTTCCTATTATTGATATAAAAGTCTCAGAGATTTTAGAATCTGTTTGAACTGATGAATCAGTATCAATCATGCTCACATAGCTTTTAATTTTTTTCTTTAATTATTATTATCTTATTTCTTAAATGTGATTTCATGTTCCCACTAGGCAAAGCTTTACAGAGGGCAAGGATCATAGATTATAAGTATTTTGGAAGTCTTGTCTATCTTGCCAAATCACATTAAATATAATGCTCTGCACAAAATAGAGGATCAATAGATGAAGCACTGAGCATTAAACTATTCTGGAATTGGATTTTGAGATGAAAATTTTTAACACTGTGAACTTTCCATATCAGTGTTTGCTGTTGCATACAGATCCAGACTTCTCAACTTTTATTCCCAGATCTCCTAGTTCTGATGACTATATTCCTATTTATTCTGAATCTCTGAGTTGAAACCTGATTTCTCATTAATAACCTAGAAAGTCATTCTCACTGTTTACTACATTAAAAATACAATGATTGCCAAGAGAAACATACTGAAAAAAAGTAAGATGCATTGTAGGATTGACATGTCAAACTTGTTTCTTCTCTTTACTTTCTGATCTTTATTCTTCAGAACATTGTTACATAATTCCAAAATTACATAGAAGAGCAACAAAACCTACTTATTTCTCCAAATTGAAAGATGTAGAATTAAAGGCTAGGCAATTTTTTTAAATTACAAAAAATTGGAAAGGAATAGGAACTGGACAATAATTTATCTTGTCAAGCTTGTTTGGGTCACCAATATTCCTTATCTCTGTATATTTTTTCTTCCTGACTAGAAAGAAGACTTTGTCTTCCTCTAAATTGGATGATTAGTCACAAAGAGTTAAGCATTTTGATAATTTAGAAAGCATCTTTTTACTAGCCACAAGGTTGCCAAGAAACCATAGTGGGTATGCAAGGAAGCTTTCCATGCCCTAGGTAGGTTTGGACCACCTATTTCAACAAACTTAAATTTCTCAACTTCTCAGACTCTGCATCTTAAATGCCCAATGCAAAAGGATAGGCAGACTCTGATTCCTCTTTTTCTAATCCACTTTGGTGGCTAGAAAGAGATAGGATTGTGATACTGGTACTCACATCTGGATGGTGATGCTTTGTCTCTATCTCCTGCTACTGGCCAGAGAAACATTGGCAGGCATCATTTACTCAGCAAGCACTCTCTATGTGTCTGTAACAGTCCTGTGTTAGTGGCTGGATAGTAAGCATGGGGAGTGAACACAACAGTAATGGTCCTCCCTCTGGACACTACCCAGAGTGCCTACCATAGTGGTCAGGTCAATTCTGGGCATATACATATTTATTTGGTATTTTGCTCTTTTACTCTTAGTTACCAAAGGATAAATTCTTCTTCAGTTTCTAAAAACCAACAAACACTAATTGTGAGGGCACTTAATCAATGTTTCTTGTGAAAACTAAATTAATATCAGAAGAAGACCTCTTTACCCAATTCTAGGAAAGAAAAAGACAATCTCATGCTAACCTGAGAGGGTTAATTCCACAATGCAAGAACTTGGCCTGAGACATTTTACTGAAATAAGAAGTGAATCTGCATTGCACTAATTCCTGGACAAAGCAGAGGACATGCAGAATAACAGTGTTGCTCATAACTATAGTTTCAGAAGATTTCACATATTTATTGATTCACAATTGCTATAATGAGATTGTTCATTTGCGTCTGTTCTCATAGAGACACTGGTGGACTCTGTCCCTCAGCTAGTTATACAGCAACAATATGCCCTTGTGACCAGCTGGGTATAAGAAACCCAAGCTGAGACTACCTTTTTGGATCACCTTGTTTGACGTGTCTTGTGTACACATCCACGGTTCCTGCATCCACAGAGAAAGTATATCCTGGTATAGTCTTTACAGTGTGAGGACAGATGGGCTTCTCACCTGCCTTCTCAGAAACCCTTGCCCTGAACCAGCCTTTGGCCGTGATGCATATCTTTACTTGTGCAGCTGCTGTGTCATATCTTTTTCTTGCAGTGAACTGAAAATTTGTAAGCATTCTCATTCTGGATCCTCTGTTAGCTATAGAACCCTGTCTAACCACCACTGTTAGCGTGCATATACCAACCGAGGTAAAGGCAAATTGCTTTTATATGAAAACATTACCAACAGGCCGAGTGAACTGTGTCATTTCTGAGGTGGGCAAGGCAACTGGAAGAATCTTCTACAGCCCCCAATATATGCACTCCTCTGGCAAGGCTTCTTAGAGTTTGTTTTTAGACAAATAGACAAGGATGGTTTCATTGACACAAACCATTAACTTTTCAGCTTGTAAAAATCTTTTGAAATAATCTAAGATGCAGCATTCTAACAAAGCAGATACTAATGAGCATCTCAGTGAATAAAAACAAAAACAAAAACAAAAAAAACTTACATATTTATTGCCCAGGTGTGGGGAGGATTCATCAAGCTGTCAGTTCTTGGATTTTCCTTGTGCAGAGTGCTCACCTACAAACAGAAGATATGTTTTGATCTATGAGCTCAGAGAGTGAATAAGGATGAAAATAAAGTTTCTTGGCTTGTTTTTTTTATTTTTCCAGGAAAGTCCAATTTTCCTTCAAGGATGTCATTAGAATCACAACTTTTCTCTTGGTATTGCTTGGAAACTCTTCAACAAGATTTATGAGCTTTTTTCCACCATCAATATCGTCCTTAAAGGAGCAATGCTAACTAACTCCCTGGGAGTTGGGGGGGGGGCTGTGAGTTAACAAGAGAGGCACCCTAGGGAATGAGGTATAGATTTTTGTTTCTTCCCTGAGCCTAAGCAAAACTATGTTATATGTTTAAAGTGCCATTTTATCAAGAAGCCATTAGAATGTTTCCTCTGTTTAAATAATTGAGTGACTTTTGTAAAAATGAATTTAGAGGCCAACATAAACCCTTTGGTGATATACAGAGCAGCACAGGGCATATTACTCAAAATATCATGTTATTCCATCAACCAATATAAATATTGACCTAGGCTGATGGGAAGCTGATGATCCCAAGTGTTTTTATATGCCCCTGACTCCATGATCAACATATTCACACTACCTGTGTCTTTCAGGTAGATTCAACTATCAACATCAGTCATACTATACAAAAGCATTATGGGTCAAAGTTTCTGGCTTTGAGAATAAAGGTCGTTGTTTTGCTCCAGCTTTTATCTGTCACTTAGAAACCTGTTTCTGGGAACTCTGTTGACGTTACCTGTCACCAGCACTATCGCGGTGATAATAGCGCCAGAGACAGATGAGGAGAACAAACTCGGGACGCCCTTAAGAACCCCTTAGGTGCTGTGCTCTGAGAGATGCCAGTCCCAGAGTGACAGCCCTCCCAGACACCTTTCAGAACAACTCTTTGCTCATATCTTATTTTGCAGAAAGCACAGCACTTCCTGGAATCCATGGCTATGAAGGATAGGAATGAGAAGTGAAAAAAATAAACATTTCTTGAACCCCTACTGTTTGTCAGGGTGATCTAAAGCAAATCATATGAAAATCAATCCAGTTCTTAATGTCTCCTTCTAAGTGCTGTCTAACTGGTAATAGAAATATGAGAAAGATTCAATCACAGTATGAATCCAATAAGTTATAATAATGATGTGTATGGTAAAAGTGAGTGAAACACCTACCTAGAAAAAAAAAAAAAACAACTAGAAGGAAATATACCAATGCCAACAGTGATTGCATTGCGTTGGATTTCATGAATAATTTTTAAGTCTTTTCTATTCTCTAGTTCTTCCTATTCTCTATTATGCATAATGTGGTCTAATATTAAAATGGCAGTGTAAGCCATGAAGAGATATTACAAGGCAATGATACATGTTGATTTGCCAAATGAAAAAATAAGTTCAGAAGTGGGAAAGACTACGTACACCAAGGACAGTCAAGGAAGCTTTGGTGGGAATGAAGGGAATGGTCAAACATTGAAGAGCTGAGAAGGCAGAAGCTGAATCTGTGAATGACTTTCTAAATCTTTTGATCTTCTTGTTCATCTTCACACTTCACATTTCTTTTTTTGTTTGTAAAAATAAATAAGCAAAACAGTGCTGTACATTTAATAATTACCATAACATACTAATTAGTATTGGCATACTAGTAATATGCTAATAATGTGTCATTACCATAATGGTGAAGTAGTGGAAGGGAAGGGGTGACAAAAGGGACCAAGGGACCATCTTCTCCTTCAAAAGAGCTTGAATTCAGCAAGAAAGACGGGGGCAGGAGATGCATGGTGTCTGGAGAATATGAGTTAGTAAGTGGTTCACAGACTGAGCAAGAGAAGTCTTGGTGCGTCACAAAAGGCCTTTGTAGACATACTAAAGTGTTTGAACTTCATCTTAGATAATACAAACTTACCAGTTTTCTAAGCAGAGGAATATTATAATGATTCAGATCTGCTTTTTCTTCTTCCAAATTGTTCAAAATCAAGTAGTGCTTTAAAACTAAATTCAAAGATATTATGCTTTGTTTCTTCTATGAAGTCAGATATTCTTTCATTAATTTGAGCAATTTTTCTTCATAATTCTTAAAGTTTTTGATATTAAAAATAAGACCATGTATATTCACTTTCTGAGATATGCATAAGTGGGGGTCATGTTTAAAATGCATCCTTGTCGCATGTACATTTTGGCATCAGTCATGATGATGTTTAACTGAACAAGATTTCTTACTACAGTTGAGTGGGATCTTGTATGTTCTCATAAAGGACTCCTTGATCTTCCATGTTTGGTGCTCATTTGTTTCTGAAAGCAGATTCCTATTATACTTTAGCAAATGTTTTCTTTCACATTAAAGAAAACAAATAATCAAATTTTAAACATTTATGGGTTACATTTTTAGCAGAAGAACCCGTTTAAGAAAGAATATACTAGAAGAAAGCAAGAAATGTTGATGGATAAATACCATGGCCTCTTTAGAGGAGGCTTTGGAGTAAGCAACTGTCTTACTAGGAAAAAATGACCTGAACAACAATCATGGTTCTTGGAGGCTTCTGGAAACCCAGATACTTTAGCACCCACTGGCATTTCCACTGAAGGTGGGTTGCTACAGAGCATTGTTTCCTTAGAAACATGATTTATTGACCTTCAAAATGGCATAATTTATTCTGAGATACAAAACCAGAGCTTATAAATTAAAGTACTGACCAATCCAATGAGTTCTTATGGCCACTGAAGCTCAAATTTCATTTTGTTACCACTGAGGCACGTTAACATTTCATTTCTTAGGCCACAAGCAAAACATAAAATGTAACAATCATCAATTCGGAGTCCTGGGTAGACAGGTATTTATTCTATCAAATTCTTTTCTACATTTTAAAAAAATTTTATATAGGAGATAGTGGAAAATTGAGCTAAGCCTGAATTTATATCAAACTTCAGATTTTATTCTAGTTATATTTTGGGAAAAATGTGACGGTCATGCAAAAGATGTTTAGGTAAAATAATTATAACAACGTAACTTCTGTTGAGTGTAGTGAGCACAGTTTTATTAAAAAAGCATATTTGAATACATTTAAAAGGAAGTGAACAGAGATTTGTTGATGAGTGTTTCAGGAAGCAGACTTTAGTAAAAATTGTAGTACAACAGCATTTGGAGATAGTTATGTTTTAGATTATTAATTCTAGGCTATTGAAACTGACTCTGAATGAGCAATTTCAGTTTTGCCCTATCACCAAATATCTTCCATGTTAATCAGGTAGGTTGACCATTGAGAGGTTATTTCATTAAAAGATGTATGATTCCTAAGTTAAGATTGGCAGAAACAAAAAGACCAGAGAGTAGATTTTATTATTCCCGGGATGATATTTCCTCCTTAGACCTGTGACCTGAAAATTTACTTATGAGGAAAAGGAATCTTGGAGAACTAAGGGTCTTATTAACTATCTCCCCATGGACTATTCACTTGTTACTGCAGTGATTATGGGAGTGGGAGAAACCAGTTTATGTTGAATTTTCCCTGGGCCTTAAAGAAGACTCAGATATTAAATTTGCAACCAAAAAACAAGGTTCTCTGGAATTTCCCCACCCCCAATCCTCAATTCTGGTGTCAGTTGTCATTTCCCTGGTAGAAATGGGAGGTAGGACAGGTGGCCCTGATCACAGGCCTCTCCTGACAAGGATAGCCAGGGCCTCTTAGATGGAGCCCGGGTCTCCCATAGCTTGGAGAGCCCCGAGGCTGCAATGTGTTTTGCTAAATCCCCACGAAATAAGGACAGCATGCAAAATTATCGTTATGCTTTCTTGCAAGCTATAGGCAGATTCTGAGAGCTTTTCTTGGGAAATGGGGTAGTCCCATTCAGGACCCCTACTTAGGATTAGCTCACATGTAGGCTGCTCTTTCCTGACCTGGTAAAATAGGCTTGGCAACTTAGTCAAGACTGGTGAATAACCAGGAGAAACCTGTAAGTGATTTCCAATTATCTTATGAATGAGTTTTACTCCTTTGCCCATTCAGATAGTTACCTCTAAGAGAACTGCGTGGGACTAAAAGAAATGTGTGCATAGAAAGCGTAGAGGAGACATAAGAATGAAGAATGTTTCTCATAAGAGAAATTGACTCCCATGAGGGGAGTCTGAGCATGTCTCTGCAGATTCTGGGCATCCTCAAATTTTAAGGCTTCTCTGTCTGCATGTTGTAGTTTATTCTCATTAGAATTTTCCACCTAAAGTTGGGACCACATTCAACTGTTGGTATCTTGCTCTTGAACTGGGACAATATTGATTGCTTTTTGTTTGACAAAATTGCTTTTTTTGCTACATATATACAATGGAGTTTATTTTTCCATAGCTTTCACCTGACCAGGTACCTGTATTCTTTCACTATTTTGTATGGGTAAAATGGGGAGTGGAATATTGTGAATGTATTTATGTAACTTGCTATTTAAATTAGATCCACATGGATTGTTTTGTAGAGAGAATAATTATTTTTTATATGTTTTATAATATTGAGGTTTTAAATCTATGGTCTACTCAAAACAAGAAAAAAATCTATGCTTCATGTTTAAAAGCTACTCAGCACCGGGGGAGGAGTCAAGATGACGGAGAAGTAGCAGGCTGAGACTACTTCAGGTAGCGGGAGATCAGCTAGATAGCTTATCTAAAGATTGCAAACACCTACAAATCCAACGGGAGATCGAAGAGAAGAAGAACAGCAACTCTAGAAACAGAAAATCAACCACTTTCTGAAAGGTAGGACGGGCGGAGAAGTGAATCCAAAGCGACGGGAAGATAGACCGCGGGGGGAGGGGCCGGCTCCCGGCAAGCGGCGGAGCAACGGAGCACAAAATTGGGACTTTTAAAAGTCTGTTCCGCTGAGGGACATCGCTCCAGAGGCTTAACCGGGGTGAAGCCCGCGCGGGGTCAGCATGGCCCCAGGTCCCGCAGGGTCACAGAAGGATCGGGGGTGTCTGAGTGTCGCAGAGCTTACAAGTATTAGAACAGGGAAGCCGGCTACAGAGACAGAGC